GAGCTGCTTCGGTTGTTGCTTTCTGCTGCTGCTTGCTGCGGCTGCTGCTGATGACTGCTGATGCTGGCTTCTGTTGGCTGTCTGTGGCTGGAGATTGCGACTGTTTTCTGTTTTCGGTTGCAGCTGGCTGCTGCTGGCTGGGGTCGCTCGTGGTTGTTCGTCTAAGTGTCAGCTGATCTTTTTACTGAACTGGTCCTGCCTGTTTGCTGCAACGTAGGACATATTCACTTCAGAAGTGTTAATTGAATATATATATATATATATATATATATATATATGCATGTTTATATTGCAGGTATCACTAGCTAGTGACCTCTTTATTGTACTTCCTGCCAGATTGTATTATTGCTACAAAATATATCACAAATCACATGCTTCAGAACTTAATATTTGATCACCCTAGCATGAAGACTACCGAGCAATTGCTTGCTCTCCATTTTGATATCAACAAAGATTCTTTCGATCACCACATTGATTTCCTTACAAACACTGCAGGCCAGTACAGACTACCGCATGCATTTATTTTTCTACGTACCGAGGAAATGGTCGTCCCCTGTGTCTCGCTGTAGCCATTCCCTCTCATATCCAGACTCGCCTTAGAGGGCCTTCCTCTTTTACGCTTCAGTGGCGAAAGCTGCTGTACATCACCATCTTCAGTTTTTTATCTCCAGCCGCAGGGTTTGCTGCAAGGGGAACATACGTAACATTATGAGAATCTATTATTGCACCGGAAACCGGAATCACATTTACAATACGAATCTGAAATGGACGTGAATTTAATGTGGGTGAATCGATGCATGTGTATAAATAATATGATATAATATGGTATATAATATATAAACAAAATATAATATAAGCTTACATAGCAAACATAACATAACATACATATATAACACAACACACAACACAACACAAATAACATAACATAACATATTACATAACATAACATAACATAACATATACACAACATAACATAACATAACATAACATAACATAACATAACATAACATAACATAATATAATACATATATTATATATTTACATACCATTAGCTGCATTAGTTTGCAGGTGTGGGTAATATTTCGATGTCTGTCCCATCGTGCCAGTCGCGATCTGTCTAATCGCTAGGCTTTGCCTTAAGATGGCCTTCGCTGCGCTTGGTTCACACGGCACTAACGGATTGCTCTTCTTTGTTTCTGCTGCACTCGTTGTTGCGCTTGTCGTTCATTTGTTGCTCGGTTCGATTCGGTCTTCGGCCGCCCGGCACCTTGCAACACGCAATTCAGAACATTTATATATTAATATTAGTTATTATTACATATCTACAACATTGAGACCACATAATCAGGAGCCACCAGCTTAGCGCGACACGCGACTAACGAAAGCGATGCAAATAATTAGGCTGTGGGCTGGCATCTCCCTTTACGTATCTTCCCCTATAAACTGCATACAATTTCTCCCAACTCTTACCGTAAACAGATCAGATCTCACACTGTCTCATTCTCGTGTGGCAAATTCGCTTTTAGATAGGCGCTAGATTGTGCCTATTACGTAGACTTTTATAAGAGTGCAAGGCCAAGGAATAATAATAGGAATTGTCAACAGCACTTGTGGAGATGTGTAGTTAAGGAAGGGTGAACAATATCACTCGATGTATTGTCGGCATATCACCGATTAAGGATGAATAATAAATCAAAAGAAAGGTTTGTGCATAATACAACATAGAACTGTGTTTGGGGAAGTGACCTTCCGTCGGGCTTACTTCTTACTTCATGACGCCCCGCCCCCCGCCTCCGTATCGCCTCACTTGAACGACCGGCACCACCCCCTCATATCCCTCACTTCACGCGACCGGCACCCACCCTCCTTATCCCTCACTTGACGACCGGCCACCCCCCTCCGATCCCCATTCACGCGCGCCCCCCCCTCCAGTATCCCTCACTTCACGACCGGCACTCCCCCGGGCCCTTCATACGCCCTCACTTACAGACCGGCACCCCACCCCCTTCATACCCCTCACTTCACGACCGGCACCCCCCCTCCTTCATACCCGCTCACTTCACGACCGGCAACCCCCCTTCATACCCCTCACTTCACGACCGCACCCCCCCCCTTCATACCCCTCACTTCACGACCGGCACCCCCCCTTCATATCCGCTCACTTCACGACCGCACCCCCCCCCTTCATACCCCCACTTCACCGACCGGGCACCCCCCCCCCCCCCTTCATCATCCCTCACTTCACGACCGGCAACCCCCGCCTCCGTAATCTCTTGCTTGACGTCGCACGCCCCGCCCTCCGTATCCGCTCACTTGATCGACGAGCACCCCCGCCCCCACTTTCTCGCGCTGCAGGTGTTTTATCCTGGCTCTGTCACATCTCCAACCCTTGTGATCGACCCATAAGGGACGGGGTGGTACGCTCATGTCAAAGGGGGGCGGGGGGGGGGGGGGGGGGGGGGGGGGGGGGGGGGGGGGGGGGGGGGGGGGGGGGGGGGGGCGGGGGGGGGGGGGGGGGGGGGGGGGGGGGGGGGGGGTGTCCGCCGGATAACAATGGCAAGCCTATCCACGGCCGAACGCATATAGCAAGAGAAAAGAGAGAGAAGAGAGAGAGAGCAAGAGAGGAGAGAGGATAAAACGAGAAGTCGTTCACGTTCAGCGTTTTGATGCTCTTCTGTCTCACTACCCAACAATAACAACGGACACCGATGTTACACACAACAACCAGACAACGTTGAAGCGTCGTGGTGCAACATACAGTCTAGACTCTAGAGAGTTACACATTGTAGAGAGGTGCTCGGAGTGGTGGAAAGCGCTGTGTACGATATATTATCTACCACACACGCAGTGTTGATACGCAAGCAATACTTATAGCAATAAGGATTGCAGTGAGCTATGAGAAAACGGTCATGAGAAAATTGTTTAAAATCCGTACTTTAGTAACTTTTAAGAGTAAACGAGATTCTGAAATGCAATTTCATAGCATTAACATATTTTGATATCGCTATCTTTGTGCGGTACTTACAGTAGCTAAGAACGCTTGGCTTGGAGCGCTGCAGTAAAAAAAAGAAAAGAATAAATCAGATATGTAATGAATATGCTTTTTACAAAACTGCTTTATACATAAAATTACAAGATATATGTACAAATCACGACCAAAGTTCGCCAATTAGTGCTAACGGTATTTCTGATCTAGATATCTATATATAGCTCATTCTTAGAGCATGGTTTCAAGCACAGAATTATGCAGATTTCGTACCAATTTAGTGCCATCCGGGGTCACATAATAAACATCGCCCTTCTTTTTAGTTGCGCCATCTATAGAGGAACGTACAACGATCTGTCGCTTCCAACCTAAAATGATACATAATTGTTCATTATTAGGTTTTTGGAGCAACTACAAACCATGTCAATCTTGTCGCACAAGCAGGGCTTTTCCAAATGTAATTAAACAAACAATGTAAGCCAAATGATGCAAAGTCACGATTCTTAATTCCCCACAATTTTATGAAGCATTTGATCATTGATGCTTCCCTTACCACACCAAGGTATGGGGTACTGTAACGCGAGCTGGAGACAGTGGTAATGTTATTCGATAAAGTATTAATAAATTAATAAATTAATAAGAAAACACCATTGTACTAGACCAGAGAGAATCATCGATAGTATTACTGCTCATTACAGTTATGAGTTTCAGTCTACTCTAACATTTCAAGCGGACCAGCTTTATTGAAGTTAATGTTATTTGATAGAGTTAACAAATTAAAATTTACACCATTATACCAGACCATAGATAACCATCAAAAGAATCATTGGTATTTACAGATACCGGTGTCAGTCTACTCTAACGCTTCTACCTGACCAGCTTTATTACGGTGAAACGCCTTACCTAGCTTCAGAGGTTTCTTCAGCTGGTGTTTCCTATACGCTGTCAAAGCCACGTCTTCGGTCGAGAAATTTTTTCGATGTCGCCGCCGATGCGACAACCCCGTCAGCTCGCCGGAATCTTCCGGAATGAGCGGTCCCACATCACTCCCTCGCTCCTCGCTCCCTGGAGACCTCCCAGGAATGACCTTCCCCGGAGACCTCCCGGGGATGACCTTCCCCGGAGACCTCCCGGGGATGGCCTTCCCCGGTGACTTCCCGATGACGACCTTTTCTGGAGACTTCCCGATGACGACCTTCTCCGGAGACTTCCCGGCGACAACCTTCCCCGGCGACAACGCCCTCTCCTCCTCTCCCGGAGACGCGGCTTTCTCGTCGCGGCGTTTCCCAAGATCATACATGAGGAACCTCTTAGGCAGTCTCGCTTTCCGCATGCCGGCCAGCGACGACCTCGTCGGCACGGCAACGACCTCCGACTCCGCATTCGGGCTTTCGGCGTCCTCCGTCTCCACCGAAGAAGCTTTCGGTTGCCGTGGCAAGTCTCGTGTCGGCGCGCGGGTTTTGGTTGCAGGGAGGAGTAGGCTGCCGGCTTGACTGAGCGGGAGCCTGCTTAGCGTTACTTTACACGTCGCGGGCGTGTGCGTGCCTGTCAATGAGAAAAATCGAAATTTTTTGAGAAAGGGAAATCATTGTAAGATTATTGTTTGCGACTTGTTTTGCCGCACGCTTTAGCATGCGCAGCTTACCTGCAGTGTTGGGTTAACTGTCTCGTCACCCCTGCCCCACCACAACTGTCACTGTGGCATTCTACCCCACCACCATGCTGTCTGCGATGGTATGGCATATCCCCCCCCCCCACCATGTCTACCCCAGCACCTACTATCTGTCATGGTATATGGCATGTCCCCGCCCAACCGATGTCTACCCCAGCACGTACTGTCTACAATGGTATGGCATGCCCCGCCCCACCATGTCTACCCCAGCACCGTACTGTCTACCATGGTATGGGCATGTCCCCCACCCCCACGATGTCTACCGCCGCAAGCCTACTGTCTAGCCATGGTATATGGCATCCCCCCCCCCACCAATGTCTACCCCAGCACCTACTGTCTACCATGGTATGGCATGTCCCCCCCCACCATGTCTACCCCTGCACCTACTGTCTGTCATGGTATGGCATGCCCCCCCCCCACCATGTCTACCCCAGCACCTACTGTCTACCATGGTATGGCATGTCCCCCCCACCATGTCTACCCAGCACCGCTACTGTCTACCATGGTATGGCATGTCCCGCCCCGCACGCATGTCTACCCAGCAGCACCTACTGTCTACCATGGTATGGCAATGTCCCCCCCACCCCCCACCATGTCTACGCCCACGCACCTACTGTCTACCATGGTATGGCAATGCCCCGCCCCACGCATGTCTACCGCAGCACCATATCCTGTCTGCCATGGTATGGCATGTCCCCCCCCCAACCATGTCTACCGCCTGCACCTACTGTCTGTCATGGTATGGCATGTCCACAGCCTTAGCCCATCATCTCCCCACCACCATGCTTACCTGCTGCCTCCCGTGTCGTGAGGTCCGTCCCACATCTTCCCCACCACCATGCTTACCTGCTGCCTCCCGTGGCGTGAGGTCCGTCCCACATCTTCCCCACCACCATGCTTTACCTGCTGCCCTCCGCGTGCGCGTGAGGTCCGTACATGCCCCCCCCCCGCTTTTTTTAACCCGCACCACCATGCTTACCCTGCTGCCTCCCGTGGCGTGAGGTCCGTCCCACTGCTCGCTTGCTGAGCCAACTCTGACGCAGCAGCAGCCTCCTCCTCCTCCTCCTCATCCTCATCCCTCTCCTGTTTGATCTCGTGAGGGAGGAGTGCACAGGTCCCCTGCGATTTCACATCCTTCGAGAGCGTGTCGTCTTCCTGCGTTGCTGTCTCCCATTGCGATTCGCTGCCGATCGAGCAGCCAACAGCTTTAGCTATCTCCATGATTGTAGCCGATCTAGCAAAGCCTCTCAGGGTGGCGTCACATTATTGTACTTGATGGCGTCAAGTCGTTAGCCTGCATAATGGCAATCAAAAATAATACCTTATTAATAACTCAAATATTCGAAATAAATATATTAATACACAATAATAAATTAATAACTTATTAATTACACAGCTACTAATTAGTTACTAACTTTTTAGTGAGATGATGAGAATGGGAGTTTAATGAATCATCACACACCTGAGCGTATTAGTAGAATAGGTGAACACGAGTCTGTTTATGCAATAGAAGAAACAACTAAATATTTCGTTTCTGACATCAATGATATTTCCGAATCCAATGACTACACCACTCATGGTGCCAGAGGTCACACTACACCATGACTACACCAGTCATGGTGCCAGGTCATACTACTAGATTAAGTTTGTCAATACTGTCTGTACTTTTTTGTTATCCAAACCACAAAAAAACAGTATAGCAAATATTCGATGTGCATTCTAACAAGAGGATAGACTTTCAACCTATAAATTTAACTGACAAAACATGGGTTTTACACTGTAAGTTGTGCAGAACTGACATTTATACTGCACTGTGACCTTGCTTACTATTACTGTATGGCCATACGTGAAAATGCTTATCATGCATGATCACGCTGAAACTTTTTTGTCACGATGAGAAAACAAAGATACCGTTAAACAGATTAGAACATGATAGGTCTAAATCTTGGGTAAAGGTTAGTGTTCAAAGTCAGATTTACTAGTGCACTTTGCTGCTACACATGCACCTGGTCCATTGCATACGTGTAGCTGCAACAGAGAAAGCAAAAGCCAATAAAGATGATGCTCGTTAGCATTGTGTTCGTATGCATAATCAATACGGTAAGAACTAGTTGTAATGATGAAAATACTGCTCATACTTTAAACAAATGTTCACAATGCAGCTCACACATCACAATAATTCTATATATTCAATATAAAGACTAGTTTACAGGTATATTATATACCGTAGTTTCATGTTTGCATGAAACACGTTGCCAGTTTTTAGATTGCATGTATATTTAACAACGGTGACGTTTCAACTGTCTCTCAACTTTTCACGCACAGGTCCTTAGCGAAAGCCAACCACAGCTGCAACCGGACCCCGAAGTATGGATAGAAAGTAAGTCTTCCTGCCCAAGCAAACACCAGACGAGACGCAACAAACAAACAAACAAGGTACGGTCGTCGAAACGCCCTTCCCACCGTCAACCCCTCTCTAATGAATCTGCGCTCGTCTCCCAACAGGGGGCGCTCCAGACTGCACGACGACGGAGGACGACTGCGGGGTGTTTGGACTCGAGTACGTGCGTAGCGGGGTCGGCGAGGGGTCAGCGTGCGACACGGGCACCGCCGTGCTGTGTCGCTCGTCCGCGCCGCACACGTCTCTCGTCGATACGCCCGCGCACACGCTCGCAGCTCTCTCCTACAACGCGTTCGAGCGTAACTGGTTCATGTCGCACGACGGGCAGCGGGAGCGGTCGTGTCGCGTGCCGGCGACGCTCAGACGCATGCTACCCGACCTAGACGTCATCGGGTTCCAGGTGCGTACACGGGAAGTCTTACACGCACACGTGCACGTACAGACACGCGCACGTGCAGACACGCGCACGTACAGACACGCACACATGAACATATGTACGCACACACGCATGCAGGTGCATACACGGGAAGTTTTACAGGCACACGCACATGCTTGCACGTACAGACACGCACACATGAACGTATGTACGCACACACGCATACAGGCGCGCACACGCACATGTACGAACGCAGTCATACGCACGCACGCGCACAGGCTTACATGTGCACGCACGCACACACTCATCTAGAGTCTACATCCACGAGGTAATACGGCCAGCTACAGTTACGTAATACATCCTTCGATGGGCATGATCAACGCATCGACTATACACTTATCACTAACCGCACATCGAAAACCCGACGAAACGAGATCCATAATTTCAATCGAGACTAAAATTTAAAATAACTTTCGTCAGGAGGTTTTCATGGGCGGCTGCTTCCGCGGAAAGCTCACGTTGCGCCACCTGCTGGCACAACACGGCTTCCCCTACACAACGCGCACTGTCGGAGCGATAATCCCGCAGGCCGTTACCGACGACGATAACGACATGAGAGTCGGCTTCAAGGTGTTGAACGGAGGGATGTTTGTCGCCTCTCGCTGGCCCATCGTGCAGGAGGACTCAATCATCTACGAGAACGCCGACCCCCTGTCGTGGGACGGGTTCTCAAAGAAGGGAGTCTCCTACGCCAAGATCAACAAGACGGATGCCTCTGGCAGGTTAAGTTCTTTAAGTTTTTTTTCTGTTAGGTTCTTTCAGGCGGAAGCGCGACACTAAGTCTACTGTCCGGCAGGTCAGAGACAATCGGACAACATCCACGGCAACGCAACATGACCGTCCCCGGCCCACCAAAAATATCACATGTTTTACACTTAACGTCCGTGCAATCTTGCTCGGAAATGCGTCGGTAAAACAGAGTTGCCTTCACTCGTTTACGGCAAAGTTTGTGATCTGTTTCAATCTGTTAGACTCTTGCCCCGCCTCTAAACAAATTCAAATTTTGCCCCTTGTTCCAACACGTCTATTAGGCACTGCCTTGCTCTAAATAAATTCAAATTTCGGCCAAATATCAAACTGAATCCGCCTTCACTTGCTTACCACGCATCTGTTAGACAAAGCCTAATCAAATCAACCTCGCCCCTAAACAAATTCAAATTTTGTCGCTCGCTTACCGCACATCCGTTAGACGAACCCTGAACAAATTCAAATTTCGGCAGGTGGAGTATAGCATCTTCAGCCTAAACAAATAAACCTCACCTCTAAACAAATTCAAATTTTGACGCTCGTTTAGCACCATCTGTTAGACGAACCATAAACAAGCGAACATCCATCGCCCCTAAAATAAACTCAAATATTCGGCAGGTGGAAGCTGTATAACCTCTTCAGCACACACCAGCAGACGGGCGACAACGCCGACATCAAAGTGGGACAGGCCGCGGAGCAGCGAGCGTTCGTAGACCGCCTCGCCATCCCGCCCGACCAACCCGTCCTCTTCCTCGGCGACTACAATATAGATCTCTACGACGACGACGAGCTTCTCTCGGCCGTCATGGCGACGCTCGAGGCGACGCTGCCAGCGACGGTGGGCGAGCGAGAGTGCACGTCCGACGGGGAGAACGACCTTCACGACGACGAGAAGTCGTGCTCGTGGCTGGACTACGTCGCGTTCAGCCACACGCACGAGAAGCCGACCCACGCGACGATGGAAGCCGTGCGACCGATGCAGGAGGAAGGCTTCCCCATCTGCTTTGACGAGGGAAAGATTCTACGCTTCGGGTATCTGTGGCCGGACGACGAGCGATGTACAAATAAGAACTATGCCGTGCGAGACCTCTCGGATCATTTCGCGGTTCTCGGGCGATACATGTTCCCCGAGTAGAGCCGGGATCGGATCAATCCCGATCAGATTAATCTGGATGCTGGAACCGCTTCTCTCGCTTCTGTTTCGTTTTCGAATGATAACAAAATTATCGCGATAGCAGAGAGCTAAACATGCGCACTGCGAAAGCGCCCTTTCTTAGCACAAATTAATAGGATGATAATTGCCTCCCACGTTGTGAGCTTTATCAGTACAGAGTTATGTAGTCAAGGTTTATTAATAGGATGATATTGCCTCCCACGTTGTGAGCTTTATCAGTACAGAGTTATGTAGTCAAGGTTTAATTAATAGGATGATAATTGCCTCCCACGTTGTGAGCTTCATCAGTACAGAGTTATGTAGTCAAGGTTTAATTGATAGGACGATAATTGCCTCAAACTTGTGCACGACAAGTAACACTGACACGTTTTTACCAATCTCAGATATCAAGCTCTTATTATCTGTATTCGCAGCGTCGATCTATCTTAGGCGGAAACCATCTTTCAAATAGAAAAATTACAATAATGTGTGTACATACACAGTGCTTCTACCATTTCCATTTTAAATGGTGATTAATTATATGCTGACATAGTCCGCGTAAACACAAGTCAGCTCGTGGGAATAGTTCCACTGCTACTAACCCCACCCATTATTTCCTTATTAGACGACATATATATGTCAATAATCGGTGAATCATCAATTATACAATTTCTGGTCCAAAAAGTAGTCAACTCACAACGCAATAAGTAAACCCATGGATGCATTATAAGCATTTGATTCCCAGTATTGTCGCTAGATTAGATCTAATAGCTACACCCACTTCTCCAAGTATTGGCATGGTGTGGTCCTAGCAGAGTATTAACTTTCAATCTATATACCAAATACCAACTTGCGATTCTGTGACTCTCTATTGTATTTGTAATGTAATATATAGACTAATAAATTGTGCCGTAGAAATTTTTATATAGCCTTACTGCCATCCATGCACAAACGTCGTGAATGCTTGTATTAAAACTTTTTTAGTTTCTGACCATGTAATATTAAAATTGTACGTAATATCTACACTTCTCACTTTGTTAACCTTAGTCTTACCATTTTTAATCATAAAACACTTACCATGGATTATCAGCTAAGAAACACTTTTTATCACCTCCTATTTTGTAAAAAATATCATGGCACTGAACGTTAACAACTTTGTCAGAACAGAAATGGTAACCCTTTAAAGTTTGTCGTCTCTTGAGCTTGTGGCGTGTTCCCACAAACCAATGAAATCATTACTGCATGGTCAGTGGCAATACGTCAAAAATCAAGATTGCAATTTCTGTTCTGACAACAAACAGTGAAACACAACTACAAGTACAAATACAAGTTTACAATTTCTGATGCACAAAAATTCGCCAGATTTGTCTATGAAAGGCTCTAATGTTTGTGATGTTCAGATGGCTAGAATTCCAACACAATCACATCTAATGTGTAATGACTGTAATGTAGGCGATTGTAGTACTACTACTAGTAATGATCTATTACTATTAGTATTAGTATTAGTATTACCACTAGCGTTACTCTCACGTCTCACTTGTGGCGAAATCTACCCGTTTTTATCTCTACGATGGCACCTAGAATAAACTTAGCAAATGTCGGTATACCGCAAATGTCAGCCACTTCCAAGATGTCCGCCACTGCTTCTGATCAGGAAGGCGCCAAGCATTTGCTGCGAAGCATATGGCGGGCGATTGGCGAGTGAATTGTTTTGGCGGGTACAGGTACCCTGTAGTGTGTTGACAAACATGGACATCTACATATGAAAATGATAAAGTAAGTAGATGTGGCATAACTTACCATACAGTACTACTTATTCATGAGAAAACATTTCTTTCACACTATCAGAATTTTAATCTTTGTATATTTGTAACTTTACCTCACTTTGTTCATTTATAGTGAAAATGCTACCGAAAGCGAGTTTACCAAAGTGGCGCCACTAGTCGTACTGACACGAGCCGACATTTTCACATCATCATTATCATTGCTCATTCTCACAACACATGTCAAGCGGTCTCCCAATACACACACCAGAGAGATCCTAACGGCCTGAACCTAACCCTAACGCTAACCTAACCCTACCCTATTATTAATAAAATTTAATTTTTAATTGTTGTAAAAATTAATTGTTGTTATTAAAATGTGTAAATAAGACTCATGTAAATATTTCGTTAATGGGGTGGAAAAAAAAATGTTAAAAGATAAAGATAGAAAATACAGAAACCAGGAAAATAATTAGATAAACGGATGGGATTCGTCCTGCGACCATTTCATACTTGGCCGCACAGCCCTGATAACCGTTAAGGCTGCTGCGACATATTAAATTGAAATTTGGATGTGCTATGTTATATCGCGAGAAAAACAAGCTCAACCAGATCAGGCGCTCAGTACCGTCAGTACGCCGTACTTTTAAGAGAAAACATCGGCGACGGTACTTGCGAGACTACAGCCAAACACGAAATGTACCAAAGTCTTGATGTTTCTCTATTTCTAATGTTCGCCTATTAAATTATATATCACCTTGTAAATGCACAGTCAAATGCTCAATCTGGCAACACGCTAGTAACCGCGCACCCGCTGTCACAAACAATCATAAATAAGAGAGCAGGTAGGATAAGCGGATCGTGCAAAATCGCTCGACCGCTCGGAGCCGTCATTTCACACGAGCCGACAAAATACATATCCAACAGCTTTCCCTTTTGGTATCCATGTGTACAGAAATGATTTACCATTGCTCTGCCGAATTCAACTCTGGCTTTTCGTTCTTACCTACTGCCGCCGGGATGATATCTCGTGGAAATCCTGCAGGAAATGTTCTCTTCCGTGAATAATGTAAAAGTTTTGTTGTAACTTTAACAATTAGCTAAAATTAAAGGTTCATAATAATTTAAACTATTTTTTTATTTTTTTTTTTTTTTTTTTTTTTGTTTGTTTTTTTTTATTTTTTTTTTTTTTTTTTTTTTTTTTTTTTTTTTTTTTTTTTTTTTTTAAAACTTTTACAGAATTCAGAATCGTGATGTTAGAACAATATAGGCAGCTAAAAGAGATTAAATGAATACACAGCTGGTGGATAAACCTGCTATGAATACCAGGAAAATAGCAACAGCCTTTAAATCCCCTTTATTGATTTATACGAATATGTTCAAACCGAGTCAGCTACACAAATGTATGAAGTTATTATAAACAATGTAAAGTATGCAAAATTTTATCTTCTCGCAAATTGCACGCACATATTGTTTAGCCTTCACCGTTTGACAATCGTGAAGCTGAGCTACTTGCTGTTGTAGTCGGGGCGGCGCAAAACTTAGAATCTGCACAATCTCGAGATTGTCACGGCGATTGTGCTGCCCAAACTGCGGATCCCTAGTTTGGCCTGACCAATCTCAAGATTGGGCCAACTGAAACAGTTGGTGTTCAACAACCCGCTCATTCAGCGAGTGTGTGGTGTGCGTGGTGGCAACCTAAGGAAGCAGATTTTATCCTCATACTTTAAATATTATCCAATTATTTTATTATGAATCATTTCATATTTATATCAGAACGGTGCCAAACAGCATTGAGAAAATTAAGGTATACGACCTTATAGTTATGATATAACATTTGAAACCTCCTATATAATACATATTTTGTGCAGAGCTCTGTTTACCTCTGTTTGCCCCAATTCAGATTGGTTGCCCAACTGGCGATGCGCTGAAGATTCAAGTTCTGTCAAGATTCCAAGCTTTGGGCACAACATTGGCCATGGGTGCGTGCGTCCGTCGTACGTTCTCCGTCAACATTTCGCTACGGTTAACTATCATACTCAGGAACCATTTGAACCACATGGTTTGAAATTGGGTATAGTTGTTTACTGCTATGGGCTCCCATTATTTAAACGTCCTATTTTGAAGGCACGCTATCGGACGTACTTTCGATTCTACGGCAATTTTTTGGCAAAAATGGGACATTCGCCCATTAGTCAGTATAGGTTTCAATCGGATTTTGGCTCATTTTTTGGTATTGAATGAATAAGGGCTAGGTTTTGTTATTTAAAAAAAATTAATCGCAAATTAGGCTAGGTTTGGCAATTATATTAGCATATTATTAGACACAAACCGTCTGTGGTGTCATATCTCGTCTGGTTCGTTTTTACAGATTTCGTTGAGCAATAATCCTTTAATTGCAAAAATTGTATTTCGCTCTCCACCCCTTGCCGATAAAA